CTCCTTCTCTCTCGGCCCCGCAAACACACCTGTCGCGACCGCACGGCATAGCCTCAGAACGCATGCCGTAGGCCGGGTTTGCTTGCTCTGCTCTTGTGTTTTTGCGAAGGCCGGTTCGAAGTTCACATTTCCCGCGGAGGAACATGGCGTGTTCTCGCGGTTGCGTTCCCCGCTGGCTGGAATGACATGGAGGTGCATCGCTTGGTCGGAGCCAGTTGTCGGTAAAATGGCTCGTGAGGCTGTAGTCGAACAAGAAATTGTGGATAGCAGTTGACCCAGAAAGGGACGTGAATGGAAGTGTAAAGAGTTTATAGTGGAAAGGAGGGTTATCCGAGAGAAGACTGAGTCGCGGCTTGTGGCCTTAATTAAATACGAATTTTGAAAGATGGCAGTGCAAGAGGAAGGCAATAATTGCGTGACTCTTAGCAAAGGGAGGATCATGAGGATTCACTGTGATGAAGTGGCGATTCTCAGGGAAAGAATCAAAGGCTAGACAGGTTGCGTGAAGTCGAGGCAGTGTTGAAAAGATGCTTGTGGCGAAAGTAATGATGCAATATGAAGAGAGCGATATTTTACGGAAGACGTAAGGATTTTTAAACGTTATTGGATAGGTGTCTTGTTTTGGGAAAACTTGTTCGATAAGTCCATAGGTTGTAGAATACGTGGTAGATTATGAGCTGATAAATTTCATTCTAATTTAAGCCAGTTGATCAACGCGTTAAAAAAAAAAAAATCCGTCTTACGTTTTCAGGGCATCGACACCATCCTGTTCATTAGCACAGAACCGTAACAAAAGCAGAGTCGCATTCCTCATGGTACTCGCATAGCTAGGGGAAACGTAATAGCGCGCCGTAAGAGTCATCCGCCGGGAGGCACGAGCACCGCCGGCGAGTGTCAGATCCAGTAAAGGATAAAGACCACGTTCCCATGGACACGAAGCCTACATGTGTGCTTGGTAACAGCTTCATATTGTCAAGAATGGGATAGCGATCACCTGCCGATCACCGTGGCCGTTCTCAGCGTGAAAACTCATTTTGCTTGACATTGCAGTCATTGTATCTGGCCAAGAAATACTAGCCTGTGGGCAGGGTTGCCTCTCTCGCGACCTGTCCAGCAGACCGCACAAAGTCTGGCGCCACAGTGCTTGCCGCTCTCCGCTTTTATTGTTTCAGTAACCTCTCCGCAGCCTAAAATCCCCGTTACTGGCATTGCCGCCCTGCCATACTCCTCGACATGGTTGGGCTGCGTCGCTCTCCTTCAGGGCTGCCAGCTCACCTGCCCGACGCCTGGCCCAGCAGTCTGGCGCCGCGCTCCCCTGCTTGGTGTCACGCTCACCTGCCCGGCGATCACCTCGCATGAAGACCTTATGCACACAAGGTGCTTGCCCGCCCGACGCCGCACTTCGATGCTGTACGCCACTCAGAGGTGCAAGGCGGCAAATACACGGGGACACCTCTCTGTACACACACACGCACACGCACCTCCCTCTCCCTTCCCCTTCCTCATCTCCCTCTCCCTCTCCCCTCCCTCCCCCTCCCCCTCCCCCCCTCCCCTCCCCCCTCTCCTCCCTCCACCACCCTCTCTCTCCTCTCCTCCTCTCCCTCCTTCCTCTATTTCTCCCTCTCCCTCCTTCCCTCTTCCTTCTCTCTCTTCTCTTCCTTCTCCTTCTCTCTCTCTCTCTCTCTCTCTCTCTCTCTCTCTCTCTCTCTCTCTCTCTCTCTCTCTCTCTCTCTCTCTCTCTCTCTCTCTCTCTCTCTCTTCCTCCCTCCCCTCCCTCCCTCCTCCCTCCCTCCCTCCCTCCTCCCTCCCTCCCTCCCTCCCTCCCTCCCTCCTCCCTCCCTCCCTATTTCTCCCTTTCTCAATTTATCTGGGTATTTTGTTTCATTATTTATAAATCAAACTTCATCTATTTCCTTAGTTATACATAGACATATACAGCTTGTGCATTCACACTCTTGAATGCTGTATACCCATGCACCATTTTCCGGCGCCAGATAAACCAGCCCATGGCCACAGCCGCATGTCATTTTGTCATGCAATACCCCAGTACCACACCTGAGTGTCTGGGACATGGCATAGCTTGTCTTATATAGTGTCTTGTATTCCTTCCTAAGGGCTGCTCAGCAGCATGCGTTATACGCGTGCTATGCCGGGGCTTCTCAGCCATTTTGCATTTTTGGATGTCGTTTTTTTTTCTTCGCTACTCCCCGCCCCCCTCGTTGCGAATTCCAGTTGTCCGCCCTCCTCCCGTAATTGTTTCTGTCGGTGATGCGGGCAGCGCAAGCAGGCAGGCAAGCAAGCAACCCGGCGTGATGAGTCAGGCCTGCGTGGAAGTGAGCTAAGACTCACCGCAGTTATGTGAGACGACAGCCATCCTCACTAACATTACACGCCGATCGGGCTCGATCCTCACTACACTGGTCAGGTGATCCTCTCGCTGTGTTAACGAGTCGTGTTCGCTTTTTACAGGGAAACGAGTGCGAGGCTAATGTTGTGAATACATACATGTTCAGTACTGAGTGGTAATGAATACGGAAAAGGATATGTAAAAAGGACAGCTTTGTATGTTCAGAGTAAAATCAAGACGCAAAAATGGCCGGCGAGGAGCAGATAGCCCAGTCTGCTGTCATGCAAGGTAAGATCGTCTCCATCCCGTACATACGGGAATGCATTCATGTATAGTTATGTGCACGGTACAGGATGTACACTTAAAGCAACACATTTACATCACATGCACACGCGCTCACTTGCATTCAAATTATATTATGATGATCATTTTTAAATAGTTTTTCCCTTTTTTCCTTTTGATTGATCAATCTCATACTCTCCAGAGAGTGCATACAAGGGTGGCCATATGCAGCGTTCACACTTGTATTCATGATTTTGAAAATATATTGTCACGGTTTTCACGGTCCGGCTGCCGGCATTGTGATGTATATTAATTCCGTCTTCTAATTAGTGGTGTTAACGAGCTTCATATGGGAATGACTTGTCTTCCAGTTCCTACGCATCCTCTTACTCCATCTTCCTTTATTCCCCCTTTCTTTTCCCTCTCCTTTGTCCCTTTGCATTTCCCCTGTCGTTCCTTTCAATCCTTCCCTTCGCACCTGGCCTCTTCTTCCTCTGCATTTTCTTTCACTTCCCTCCCCTTCCTCCCTCACTTCACATATCCACCTCTTCTTCATGTCCCTGACCCACCTCCTTCTTTCTCCCTCCCCCATCCCTTCCTCATTCTCGAGTCCCTCTCCCCTTCTTTCCTTCCCCCATCCTTTTCTCATTCTCCCCTTCTCCGACCCCCAACGGCAGAGTCGGGAGTCCAAATGCGTCCTCCTGATTATGGTAATGGGTTACATCAGCCATTTGAATATTTAGAAATGTTTGGTTTAGTCGCGTCCGCGTTCGCCTGCGAGGTGTGAGGTGGGGGGAAGGAGAGAGGGGGAGAGGGAGAGGGAGAGGGAGGCGGAGGGGAAGTTGATTCTTGTGTTCTCTGTCGTTGTTGTTGCTGCTGTTTTTTTTTTCTAAACCGTTCTAATAGTATTATCAATGGTGGCGGCGGGTTGTTGTTCTTACGGGGCATATTATGTTTGGTGATCCTGTTTTTTTACTGGTGCTAGTATGGTTATAATTAGAGTCATGTGCTGTCATTTTTTTTTTTTTTTTTTTTTTTTTTTTTTTTTTTGGCTATTGTTCTCCTGGACCTAATTATTGTAATTTTTAAAATTGTATACTTTTTATATTCTATTATTCAGCATCGGTTGGCGAGGATGAGACAATTTATCATTGATGTTTTTTATTATGTTCTTTTCGTATTCGTCGTCGCCCGCGTGGCTGTGGCTGTTATTGTTGTTGTTGTTGTTCTAATTGCTGTTGTTAGTGTCATCATCATCCATCGTCTTCATTATCATTAGTCTTAATAGTATTATTTTCAAGGTTTGTTTATTTGTATTGAAATTTAATCGGAATGAAGCTGGTCCTTAAGACAAAAAAGAAAAAAGGAAGAAATTATTAAAACGGCTAAAGAGGCATAACGAAACCGAAACGATACACGTTTAATAATTCCTAGGTTCTGGCTCTGCGTCCTTCCCTTTTTCCCCTGTGGCTCTGGTCCTTGTTTTTTCGTCCTTTATTTTTTATTGTTATTTTCTTTCCAGTTTTTCCTCCTTCCTGCCTCTCGTCACCATCCTCATTCATTCATTCTTCCTTTTCTCCTCACTTTCTTTTCTCTCTTCTTTCCCCTTTCCTCTTCCTTCTTCTTCTTTGTTTTTTATTTCTTTTTATTCGTTTTCTACTTTCCTTTTTCTTTTCTGTTTTCTCTTACTTCCACTTTTTTTTTTTTTTTTTCTTTTTCTTCTTCTTCTTCTTCTTCTTCTTCTTCTTCTTCTTCTCTCTCTCCTCTTCTTCTTTCTTCTTCTTCTTCTTCTTCTTCTTCTTCTCTTCTTCTTCTTCTTCTTCTTCTCCTACCTCCTCTCTCCTCCTCCTCCTCCTCCCTCTTTCTATTCCTCATCTCCTCTTATTATTATTATTTTTCTCCTCCCTCCCTTCCTCCTCTTTCCTTTACCTCTACTCTCACACATCATTCACATCTTTTTCATTCTCCTCTTTCTTTCTCTTCTTCTTCTACTCCTCGTCCTCGTCTCGTCTCTCCTCCTCCTCCTCCTCCTCCTTCTCTTCCTCTTCCTCTCCTCTTCCCCTTCCCCTTCCCCCTCCTCTCCCTCCTCCCCTCCTCTTCTCCTCTTCCTCCCTCCTCCTCTTCCTCCCTCCTCCTCCTCTTCCTGTCTCCTCTCTTCTCTCTCCTCCTCTTGTTCCTTCTCCTCCTCTTTCGTTCATTCTCCTCTCTTCTCCTCTCTCCTCCTCTCTTCCTCCCTTTCCTCCCTCCTCCTTCCCCTCTCCTCCTCCCTCTCTCCTCCTCCTCTCCTCTCCTCTCCTCCCTCTTTCCCTCTTCTCCTCCCTCTCCTCTCTCCTCTTCCCCCCTTCTCTCCTCCTCGCTTCCTCTCCTCCCTCCGCCTCCTCCTCCTCCTCTCTCCTCCCTCCTCCTCCTCCTCCTCCTCTCCTCCTCCTCCTCCTCCCCCTTTCCTCCTCCTCCTCCTCCTCCCCCTCCTCCTCCTCCTCCTCTCTCCTCCCTCCCCTCTCTCCTCCTCCTCCTCCTCCCCCTCTCTCCTCCTCCTCCTCCTCCTCCTCTCTTTTCACATTTACGAGTCAATTCGCTTGATGAAACGCGAGAATTTTGCGCCTTGAATCAGGGCATTCTCTTTTTTTCTTACACACACACACACACACACACACACACACACACACACACACACACACACACACACACCACACACATCACACACACACACCTGTATGTGTGTGTGTGTGTGTGTGTTGTTGTGATTATATTGTAACTCTGAAAAATATATTTTATTTATTTATTTATTATCAGTTTTGATATTCGTCTCGTTCATTTTGGTTTAGAGGCACTTTAGTTTTTTTTTTTTTTCTTCAAAGAAGTCGAAGTTGAGAGGAACCGAATTGTTGCTTTCGCTCGCGCATGGCCTCTTTAATTGCTATGATATATTGACTTTCTTTTCTCTCTCTCTCTCTCTCTCTCTCTCTCTCTCTCTCTCTCTCTCTCTCTCTCTCTCTCTCTCTCTCTCTCTCCTCTCTCTCTCTCTCCTCTCCTCCTCTCTCTCTTCTCTCTCTCTCCTTCTCTCTCTCCTCTCTCTCTCTCTCTCTCTCTCTCTCTCTCTCTTCTCTCTTCTCTCTTCTTCTCTCTCTCTCTCTCCTCTCTCTCTTCTCTCTCTCTCCTCTCCCTCACTCTCCTCTCTCTCTCTCTCTCTCTCTCTCATCTCTCTCCTGTCCTCTCTCTCCCTCCTCCTCCCTCTCTCATCTCTCTCTCGACTCTCTCTCTGTCTGTCTGTCTGTCTGTCTGTCTGTCTTCAGTATCTCTCTCCTCCTCCGTCTGTCTGTTGTGAGAGGTTAATGTCGTTTTGAGATGTCATTTTTGTTTGTTCGTGTAGCCAATATATTTGAGGGCCACGAGGTGAGCTAGAAGAGCCAGATGCGCTGAGAGTCTGCTGAGTTTGTAATGATGAACTCGGTTAATCTTATTAGTAGTTGATTTATTGGCTTATTTATTCAGATTCTTTATATGTACGTATGCATGTTGGTGCATAATTGAAAGATGTAGGATTTCAGTGTTTAATTGATTGTGCCAATTATTATTAATGCCTGCTAGTTTATCCATTTATTTATTCAGAACTCATGGCGGTAGGTCCCGTCTGTGTATGCATGTACAGTAGGTCTGTATGCGCACATGTGTGTGTGCGTGTGTCGGTAGAGCGGCAGTACACATGCGCCCGCAACGACAGACGACTATTGACTGAGTGTTCAAGGTGTAACAGCTGAGCGAAGAGGTGCTCCCGACACGCCGAGAACACGCTCAGACGCCGTCGCGCCGTTCCCTCTGCGCGAGATGCAGAGCGGAGGAAAAAAAAGTAGGCAAGATGAGTGGAGATGCTCCCCGGTGTGCGATGCGTGGAGCTCAAGGGCTGGGGACTCGAGAGGGAATGGGGTGGGGGGGTTAGGGGAAGTGAGGCATGGGAGAAAGAGAGCAGGGAGAGAAGGGGAAAAAAAGAAGGAAGGGTAGATATAAAGAGAGAGAGAGAGAGAGAGAGAGAGAGAGAGAGAGAGAGAGAGAGAGAGAGAGAGAGAGAGAGAGAGAGAGAGAGAGAGAGAGCAATAGAGAGCGAGTCGGAAGACGATGAGAGTAGCGCAAGGTAGGAACAAGCGCGGACGGACAGTACTGCCGGCTGGGAATCGATGAGTGAGAGCAAAAGGACCAGACGTACCCAGGGCTGCCTGGCGTCTATGGTGAACAAGAGTACTAGAGAGTAGAGTTACGTGGGTGGGGGAGACGGGGAGGAGTGGAAGGGGGAAAGATAGAGAGGGGGGAAAGAGAGAGAGCGAGAGCAGTTGCAGCGGTGATGGCGGTGGTTGAAGGCGCTCTCATCGTACCCGCTCGGTGGGGATGGAGAGAGCGGGAAGAGAGAGAGAGAGAGAGAGAGAGAGAGAGAGAGAGAGAGAGAGAGAGAGAAGAGAGAGAGAGAGAGAGAGAGAGAGAAGAGAGAGAGAAGAGAGAAGAGAGGGGGGGGAGGGAGGCAGAGGGGGAGAGGAGGAAGGAGGGAGAGGGAGAGAAGGGAGAGGGAGAGGGAGAGGGAGAGAGAGAACATATTTCCGGTATATTCTCTCTCTTGCCTTCTTTCTGTCTTTCTTCATTTCTTTATTTCTTTCTTCCATCCCTATCTCCCTATCTCTATCCCTCCTGTACTTCTTTTTTCCCTCTGTCTTTTGCCTCTCCCCTTGTCTTTCACTTTCTCCCTCTCAGCATATCCCCTTCCCTCTTCCTTCTCCCTTCTCAGCATTCATCCCCCCTTCCCCTCTTCTTCTCTCCTCCCTCCCTCCTCGTCTCCTCATCTTCCTGGTCTCGTCTCCTCTCTCTCCTCTCTCTCTCCTCTCTCCTCTCTCTCTCTCTCTCTTCTCTTCTCTCTCTTCTCCTCTCCTTCATCTTCTCTCCTCTCTCTCTCTTCTCTCTCTCTCTCCTCTTCTCTTCATTCTCCCCTCTTCTCCTCCCTCTCCCTCCCCTCCCTCCTCCTC